CCAGCTTTCTTTTGTTTGGCTACCAAGTTTTACACATTAACTCTTTTTTTAGTTTTTTTTTTAAGGATTTTATTTATTTCTTTGAGAGAAAGAGCACAAGCAGGGAAGCAGAAGGCAGAGGGAGAGGGAGAAGCTCCCTCCCGAGCAAGGAGCCCTGATGCAGGGCTCAATCTCAGGACCCTGGGATCATGAACTGAGCCAAAGGCAGCCGCTTAACCCACTGAGCCACGCAGGCGTCCCTACACATTAACACTTTAAATATCATCTATTTCCCTTATTCCCTTTTCATCCTTGCTGCCCTGCCCTCATTCAAGCCCTGAGGATTTGTTGATCTTTCAAGGGATCAACACTCGTTCCCAGCCCTTCTCCCTTCTCCTCCTCTAACAGAGAGCCAGCAACTCCAGGTCCCAGCCTACAGTGGCCACATGACACTGTCCTGATGACTAGAGCATTGGCAGAAATCTACTGGAGAACTCTAGGGACACTCTGCTCTTCTGAAGATGGAAGAGCATGGCGGCAATTGTGCACCTCCCAAGGATGGTGGGAGGAAAGCCGGAAAGCTCCCGGGGACCTGACAGCATCATTGTGGCCCCTGCTTCTGACCTTGTTGTGGAAGGAAAACTGTCCTTATTTTTTAGCTCATTAGTTTTCTGTCACTGACAACCTAACACATGGCTGACTAGTGTGCCTACCTGCCTCCTTCCTGTTCTAGTCTTCCATAATCTGCTTTACCCTACAATTTTGCATTAAGGGTGAAAAAAAAGAAGACCAGAAAATAATACGAAATAAATAAACATTGACAATAAAAGCAAAGAACAGCTGACATGTGACAGCAGTGTTGAAGACCTAAAAATTATTTTTAAAAGTATGAAAAACAATTTAAGAGTAATCTAAGTCCATTTTGTAAAGGTTTGAAAAATTCCTACATGTACCAACAGTTCCTTAGGGCATCAGAATTAGTACCACAGCATAGGGTAGCAAGGAGACTCTCCCAAAGTATTCATTTAGCATTCAGTCTATAGTGGGTACACCAGTGAGCCAAACACACAAGACATCACTGCCATGGAGTTTAGAGTTGAACTGGGAAGGAAATTCAAAATTACACAAGTAAACAAAATCTGTGCTATGGATAGTCAAATTAAAGAATGGCTCAGTCAGTAAAGCATGCAACTCTTGATCTCAGGGTTGTGAGTTCTAGCCCCACGTTGGACATGGAGAGTACTCAAAAAAAAAAAAAATGGTCTTGATAAAGGAGAACCTGGTCTAGCCCCATGTACTAGTGGAGCAGAGGGCTGGAAAGGAAGTCTTCCTTAGAAAATTGAAGTATGTACTAGCTTGGAGGATGAGCCTGCTTGTTAGAGAAATGAAGGGAGGAGTGGTGGGGAAGAAGGAAAAGCATTTGGAGAGGAGGGACGCCATGTACAAAGGCCCTAAAGCATGAGGGCAAACACCGATTCTGAGAAACTGAAGGAAGGTCATGGTGTGTGTGTTTGTTCCAACTCACCAAGAAAAGGAGAAATTATGTTCAATATATTCTGCTTAAGAGGAAAGCCAAAGAGTTTTTGCACTAAGTCATTCCATAGAGATATGTAAGCATTTACTAAGTACCATGCACTATACTAGGTTCTGGTTCTGGGATATAAATATGAGTAAGATACATTCTGTGCCTTTAGGGAGTTCCAACAAATAAAGAAACTAAGGTAAACAATTACAGTTACTTATAATGAGTACTTTGATATAGGTGTGGCCAAAGCCTATGGGGCACCAACAAAATGACTAATTCACTCAGGGGCTCAATTATCTAGAAAATCAATCCATGTTCTGTACATCATTCCAAATGGTACGGAATACACGAACTGTGATTGAGTTTAATCATGAAACAAACCAGAAAATCTAAATTCTGACAGATATCAAAAGGTAATGGAATTGTTTAAAGGACTTCGATATACACAATCCTACTTTAACAACCTCTCTAGGCTTGGGCAACCATTCAAATAACTAGATTTGAGCATAACCAAATTTTAGAATATGTATTTGAGGCAAAAATAAATAAAGGAAACACTAAATTAGACCTTATCAGGATCAGATAGAAAAGTAGAAAAAGCCAACATAACGTTAGAATTGTTCTTTTGCTGAGATCCAATGAAAAGACTCATACTTAAAAAGATTTAACGGCAAACACTAAAATTTGCCTTTTCATTCACTGTAGTTTACAAGATTATCAATAAACAAAATCCAGAGACTTGGGCCTTTGCATTAGTTCTGCCAATGATCAGCTGTGTGAAAACAGTGCCACGTGGTTTATCTGAGTCTCAGTCTCCATGTTATGAAATAGAATAATTTCATCAGTAGCACCCAATGATTGCAAAATAGTCTTTCCAGAAAAATTATATACCACTGTATTATTTTCACTGATTTCAATACTGGCTAACTGCCCCTGCAAAAACTCAGGAGAATACAAAGCCATTTTACCAATTATTTGCCAGGCTGGAATGCACCAGATTTTACAAACAATACTTTGAATTTAGCCAAGATAAATTAGCAAATGTATAATGCCTGATCATTATAAGGCTACATGAAGCCAAAGAGTGGCTATGGAGTCTATTAAAGACTAGATGGCCTCACTAACTAGGAAATACTCACTTTCAATCAGGTAAAACTCTTCTAACGATATCTATGTCCCTTCTCTTGGATAAAGGAAACCATAAGAAAAAATCACCCAAATATAATGTTAGATATCACTGTACATTAGTATGAAGGTAAATGAAATATAGTATATGATATTTCTGTTGTAGGACATACTTCTTCCCATCTCAGTTATTTTTGCTAAAGTGTTTGATAAAGTTGCTTAAAGTGAATAGGGAGTTACAATATGTGAGCCAAAGAGGAGTCTGATAATTTAAAACAAAAAAAAAATTGGAATATGTTTTTGTCATCAGATCCAAAAAATGACACAGTAATTATATGCAGTGCTACATAATAATTCTAAGCATAATTGCAGTATAATTTTTGTGACACGCACTTACTATCCATCTCCATCATAATTATTATGCTTAGATCATGTCACCTTGTTTTTCAAGTTTTCTATTTCCTTGAGGTGCAGACTTTTCAAATATGTAGATTCATTTTAAAATATATATTGTCCATGATACCTATCTCATCATAGGACCTGAACATATGAGTATCAACAACAATCCTAATTATGCAAATGCCTAATGCTGTGGAAAGTCAACCCTGTACCATTTTTTAGTCCATTTTACAAAAATAAGAATGTCAGGGGAATACTTTTTTTGCAACTTTTTGTAATACAAAATGGTTTCTCCTACTCTTTGCTATGCCATCTCTTCTCTTATCAGTGACAAGGTCCATGTCACACAGGATGCAAAGGGCTTTGACAAATGGGAACTGCCTTGTGCAGTTTTCAATGGGAAAGAGCATCCACACTGCACATTCTCAAGGCCAAAAGCCATAGCCATTTGAAGCACAAGCAATTTTGATGGACAGGCATGGCTGTGTGTCAGCTCACCTATTTTCCTATCCAGACCCCACATCCACTCCATAAAATGTTGTGTTAATCATGTGATATAAGCAGATATTATTGCCTTCAGCGAACTTAGAATTATAAGGTATAGAAATACATATTTTTATAAAAAGATGAAAAAAATTATGCATGCTGTAAAGATTTATTAAGTTTTGTGATGGTTAATCTTATGCATTAATTTGGCTAGACTTCCCATAATGGGGGTGAGCCTCATCCAATCAGTTGAAGCCTTAGAACAAAGACAGATTTCCTAAAGAAGACATTCTACCAGAGTTTCCAGCCTTCAGAGTCAAGATCGCAGTAGCAACTCTTATCCAGTCTGCAGCCTTGTCCTACAGATTGTAGACTTGCCAGCCTCCACAATGGCATAAGCTGATTCCTTAAAATCTCTCCATCAATCCAATAAATCAATCATTTTCGCTCCCCAACCCCCACCCCCACCTGTATACCTTTTACTGGTTCTCTGGAGAATACTGACTAATACAACTTTATTCAGAACATTAAATACATTACTTATTATCTTTGAAAAAAAAAGTATTTTTGTCCCTGTTTATGACGTTGGTAAATTCTGAACCAACTCTTAATGTTAAGATTATGTTAAACACCCTTTATTAAGAACTTCATGAAACCAGCTGAGAATAAAGCTGACACATTGAGCTCAAATACTTTCTATAAAACTAGATTTAAGCATATATTATGTATTTTCTGTACAAACTAAGTTTGTGTACTTTCCCTAGAACAAACAGTATGAAAATATAAAAGAAACTAGGTAATCATGACTCTCAGTTAATGATATTTGACTATTCTTCTTCTATGAGTTATCACATATAACAAAGTTCAGTCATTTTGTAGAAAAACGGTAGTATAATCATATTTGTATGTGCAATAGCTGCAAAAACAATGTTGTAAAGGTAGGGTGTATATTACAATTATTTTTCATTGTAAGACTAGTTTCAGGTCAGTTAAACCCGTAAGAAGAAGTTGTTCCTAAGAAACATCATTATTTCCACAACAGAAAACACACGTAAAAAATTATCTTTATAAGTAGCAAGTAAATTAAAATGGCTTTCCTTTTTTTTTTAAAGATTTTATTTATTTATTTGATACAGAGAGAGAGAGCGAGAGCAGGAACACAAGCAGGGGGAGTGGGAGAGGGAAAAGCAGGCTTCCCACCGAGCAGGGAGCCCGATGCGGGGCTTGATCCCAGGACCCTGGGATCATGACCTGAGCCAAAGGCAGATGCTTAATGACTGAGCCACCCAGGCACCCCTCAATGGCTTTACTTTTAAACCTAAATTATATTCAATTAGAATTATAAATGGTGTATTAAAAATGGCATCCTATTATTTTATATATAACAGATTGATACAAGAGAAAATGTTGAAATGATACATGTTAAATTATTTTTTTCAGAAAAACAAGTCCCTCTCAGAGGCATTCTATGGACAGAGGTACTTACTAATAGCAGAATCATAGGAAGTTGAGTTGTGCTCGCCCCTCATGAAGGGATATGGTGACAGGTAAGCATGTGCGCAGTTCTTGGATGGTGGCTGATTGGCTAGAAAGGCGACCAAACAAAGGTAGTTATTATTGAGAGAATGAGTGAAGACTCATTCCTAACAGAAGAGAAATGTGGAATCTGTATCACACAAGCTAAACAAACTGCAGGTTAGATCAATAGGTTCAAAGAACTGTTAAATGAAGGGGAAAAACATCAAGCAGCTCAGGGGACCTGGAAAGTGGATTCATCCAAAACATCTAGCTCATTACATAGTTCAGTGCAGAGAATGCCCCTAATATCACCTTAAAATTAAAGGCACTACACTTCATTTATTTTCACAACCATATCCTCCAGTTCCTAACATGATGCCTAGTGCATAGTAAGTATTCAAAAACTAATTGTTTTAAAAATCTAATAAACTTAGATTTAACCTTGATCAGTTCTGATTAACATAAAAAGTATTCTATATTCTATTTTTAGGGAACAAATGGAAATGATAGGTCATACAATTTAATAATTCAAATGCATTTTTAGTATTTGGAGAAAATACAAGAAAAAACTTTTATGTTGTGAAAACTTGAAGATTCACTGTGTACCCTTTAAGGAGGAGTGAAATTCTTCCTTTCTCTAAGTCCTTGGCAAAGTCTTCGTCTTGCACAGTCTGACTCACTCTATCAAAGTCTAAATACTTTTTATTGGCAGATTGCATGCTTTTTCTCTTCCCCAAAATGACTATAAGAAGCCTGTCAACTATTTCTTGCAAAATTCCATTTCATCATTACTTGGTTACTTTTACACATGCCAACTTGCTGTCAGCTTGCTTGTCTTCTAAGATCTCATATTTTTATTATATATTATTATATGAGTAAATGCCATATTTTGATATATCACAGGAGTATTTGATAAGGAGACTAATAATTTCAACCTACAATAACCTTCAGGGTAATAAGCAGTTCTTTTATTGTTGAATGCAATAAGATAAAAGCTAGTGATTTTCAGTGAATTGATTTTCAAAGATTAATATAATACAGGAAATACAGTGAAAAGAATGAATCATATTTTTAAGAGGTTATTCTACTTCAAAAGAGAACTTTCAAGTTTCTATAAGAGAATGCAAACATCAAAAGCCAGGCATTTCTTGATATTGCCTACAAATTTGGTTAAAGCCCAAAGAGAGTGAGCTTTCATCCACTGTTGCTGGTAATTAAGTTTCATTATACAAGGATTTTTGTTGTTGTTGTTGTTAGTGTATTTTAAATAAGAGCAAGGAAACAGCATATAATTTGGTTTTGCCATAAATATTCAGACTCCTACTTTAAGTTAGAAAATAAAATAATTATTCATATAGCCATTTCTACTTACTGAAAAAGAATCACTTCATGAGTCTTTTGAAGATGTCCTATCAAGATTCTACAGTTAAGAATCCAATCCTATCTTGTAAGTGATCTGTACTAAATAAGAAGCTGTTCATTCTTATTTTAATGACAAGGGGGAAAATAAAGCTAAATTGCACTTACTGTACCAGAACTTCCAGATACTGGAATCATTCTCTTCAGCAATCCCATTAAACCAACATCTCCAGAAGAATCCTTCGTGGTGGAAAGTGACGTTCTCTATCTACACAGAACACAAATGAATTAACTTGCTGTCAACACAAAGTACATAACCTAAATTATCACATCCAGGAAAATGTTAAAGCAATGTATTTTATCCCAAACAATAATGGTCAGTAGCTTTCTACCTATTTCTTCTGTGAAGAAATAGGCACTCCACTACTATTCTCTGATTTCAAGAGGATACATAAGGCTATCTTCATCCCTACCAAGTATATCAGTATTTGGAAGAAGAAACGCACATTCTGTTCACCTGAACACTTCCCCACTTCAGTTGCAAGAAGCCAATAATCCGATCCAAAAGCCACCAAAAAGAGTAAAACCCCCAAAGCACCGAAGAGAGCCCCAAAGAAGATGGCAATATTTAGTCTCATTTTCAAGTCACTAGTTTCTCTTTAAATAAAATAAGAAATTAAAAAATGGCAGACACCTAGCTTCTCAATTAAAAAGAAGAAGAAGAAGAAGAAGAAGAAGAAAGATTTTTTGAGTAAGCAATATCTTCTTGAGAAGCCTCTCCTAGCTCATGTTGTGGTGGCTTCTCACGTAAGTGGGTGGATTTGTGTTCCCTTTGCTCTCCCCTGGAGGGACTCCAGCCCAGCAGCTGAGAATGGCCAGCTATTTTAGGATACTGATTGAGAAGCTGTCTCTCTCCCATGGGAATCAAAAAATAGCTGACCTTCCCTTGACTGTAGAGAGGAGTATCAGGAGCTGGCTAGAATGACCATTATTGCTGTTGGGTAATCCATAGAAGTGGAAAGAAGATGGGAGTGGTGTGAAGTCATTGGCAGTACTGGCCCAAAGTCTTAAGTGTCTGAACAAGCTCCTCTTAGTCTAGAATGACCATTACAACCCCAAAGCCAGACACTTAAGACTCTCTTTGAAGACAGATAAATAACAGCTATAAGAAACCACAAAGAGTTCTCTTGAATACAACTGAAGTTATAATTAATTTCTTAATTCCTTTTGGATATTTTTGAGATCCAAAATAATCTATGGGTCAAGTGGTCTAATGTAACACATAACACAAAGTAGAGTCCAGGTTTATAAACTAGACGTTCAGATGTATACTTAAAAGATCAAGAATAAAGTAACAAACTATTTAAAGTACAAAAAAATACTTTCATGCTACATATGCCATTTACATAAAAACAGCACTTTCTATAGCAGCTCCCAGATCTTGTACAAGTTACTTCAAATAACCATCCCCAAAGTGGATGGGTTAAAAAAGTCTCAAAATATGTCACTTTATGGATTAAGATGAAAGAATCTAGTCTACTCTTTCTTTTGTTCCCTTCATTTTAAATAGCCAACTTCCTCATGAGTCGTACTTAATTCTTACACAAACCACCTAATGAATCAACACTTTCTTCATGCCTTGTCTTCTACAGTTGTTCTCTTTTCATGTCTGAATATGCCAGAGAGTATTTTTAAGTATTTTTGTAATATTTTAAAATTTGTACTATCTCTATGACTACTGTTTTCTTTTAAATATATATTTTCAACAATAATATGAGTTACTGCATCTTCTGAAGAGGCATCAGCTCTACCAGCTTCCTTCACCACTTCTTCTGCTTGGTATGGGACACATCCTTAAATACAGATTCGGTGAGGGCAAGAAATGACTCTTCAGTAAGGATGTAAGGCCTTGGCTAGTTCTAGCTACACACAGTCGGAGGTGTCTGAAGGTCATGAATGGTATTCTACGTCACAGAATTGGTGTCTGTAAGGCTTAAAAGGAATTTGACAGTCCACCTGAGCTGTACTAATGCTCAAATCTCTTTTGTAAGTCCCCCACGTCATTGAGCCATGCCATTTCTAGCCTGCTATATTGAAGGACATCATTAATGTCCATACAACCCTGCCTTAATTTCTTCCAAGAGTTGCTTCCCTGAAGTCTCCGAGATTAATCCTATTCAGTCCTCTGAGATTGCACAGCACAAGTGTGCAATCCTGTTAGGCGGCAGAATTTTCTGATATTTTGAAGAAGCGGTCATTTCGTGCCTCCTCAAACCACAACTGCCACAGGACCCCGAAATGTAGGTCTTCTCTTTGCCAAGCTAAGTTTCCTATTCCTTTAAACATCCCTTAGATTGGCACAATTCCAAATCTCCCTGCTGTTCTGGTTCTTTGCTATAATTTTCAAGTATTTGATTGAAGTGAGACATAGTAAAATATTCGGGGTAGAGTCTAATATCTTATTACTACCACCTTTCTGATTTGGAGGCTGTGATAAGCAGAGCAATGGTCCTCCAAAGATGTCCACACCCTAGTCCTAACTGCAATCACATAATCTGTGAATAGGTTACTCTTTATGGCAATATCTTGGATGATACAGGTAGGTCCAATCTAACCACATGAATCTTTAAAAGAAGAGAATCTCTTCTAACAGAGTGGTCAGAGAAAGAAATGTGACAAGAAAAAGGGTCAGAGAGTTGCTGGTTTGAAGGGGCCACAAGCCAAGTAATGTGGGTGGTTTCTAGTTCCTGGAAGAGGAAAGAACACAGATTCTCCAGACAGCCTCCCTGAGGAAGAAATATAGCTTTACCAACACTGATTTTGGGGATTGCTGACTTCTGGAACTGTAATGACAGTAAATTAGTATTGTGTTAAGCCACTAACTTTTTATCATTTGTTACAGCAACAATGAGAAACTAATACAGATGCTCTTCCATAATTAATGCAATATCAGATCAAAGGAAGGGTTTTTTTTGGGGGGGTGTTGAGGAAGGAAATACATCTTGAAGAAGTACTTATTGAGAACTTGTGAGGGTCCAGGCATTTTGCCAGATATTAAGGTTACAGTACACAGGCCCTCACCTAGAGGAGTTCATGCCCTAGTGGGAAAAAATGATTCATTAGAATGAAGCACATAGAGGGGCACCTGGGTGGCTCAGTCGTTAAGCGGCTGCCTTCAGCTCAGGTCATGATCCCAGGATCCTGGGATTGAGCCCTGCATCAGGCTCCCTGCTCTGTGGGAAGCCTGCTTCTCCCTCTCCCACTCCCCCTGCTTGTGTTCCCTCTCTTGCTGTGTCTCTCTCTGTCGAATAAATAAATAAAATCTTTAAAAAAAAAAAAATGAAGCACATAGAGGTTGTAATAATGAGCTTCTGGACAACCTAGACATATTCTACTGCTCCCCACCCACCCCTCTCCCAGCATTGGTGTGGTTGTGTAGTTGTAGGTACCAACACTGTTCTTTGGAGAGAAGGAGGAATTTTTTCAGGAAGGTTTTATTTTATTTATATCACAAAAGTTTATAGTAAAGATCCATGCATTAACACTAAATCTTTAACATACACATTCACAAACATACAGACACACAAGCAATTAAATTTTTAAAATAAGCAGAAAGGAGTGTAGGACTTTGTTATTGTTAAAATTTATCTCAATTTTGGTCTTTGTCACACACAAAAAATCACCTTTCTGGATTAGGTCCATCAATAAATAACATTTTCTTAGCATTCGTGGTTTATCCAAAAATGTATAAGCATCATTATAAAATGTGTCTTTATTAAATCAATTATTAGTAACCAAACTAATTATTTCCACCATTCACTTATACACATCTATTTGATATCACAGAGTACTTCTGACATCATGAAACTGAACTACTTTAGCTCCATTATCCCCAGTGCTTGTCACAGTGCTTGACACACAACAAGCACTAAAATAAAATAAAAATCAATTTGTATTAGGACTCTTGGCTGAGATGCAAATACATGACCTTCTGAGCTATCCAACTGGCAATCCATCTCAGAAGAAATGGCCCTTATCTGGCATGGCCTGTTCTTTGTGAAACTTGGAAGAATGTATTTTAGCGGGGAGTGTGCTTCCTCTGCAGATGCTCACAAACCACCTTTTTGAGAATTTCCATCAGACTCTTACTGAGAAATGAAATGGAACTTACCATCCAGGGGTCAAAAATGTGTCTCTCTTCTTTAGAAAATCAGACCATTTGCCTGTCATTTGCAACTCCTCTAATTTTGCATGATTCCTAAAATATTTCTAACAGCTATTCAGCATCTCTTCCTCGGGTTCTCTTGGCAGCCTGAAAAATTACCCACGCACCAGGAAGATGGCTAAAAAGCTGCTGGGTTCTCATCATCTCTACAGATTTGGGCAGAAGGTCTTTTTCCCTTCACACTCCTTTCTAGTGAAAGGCCAGGAGTTGAAGAGAGACACACTCACGCACCAACTCTAACTCATAATAATCCTATAATAAAACAACTTCATTGCCTATACTTTATGTGAATATCGAATCTATTTTTATGTTGCTATGATTGTCACACTGAATCTGCAAGGCCACAAGCATAAGTATGGTGTTTCAGGTTTGATCCCCTGAGAGAGCTTAATTGTCAAAAATATGAACTGAGATGAATAATAAAGCTGATATTCATGAGCATCTACCATGTGGCAGACACAAACTTAAGCATATTAAATACCTTGAATACAAGTCAGTCTTCAGTAGACAAAATATGAAACAACCCCTTTCTCTGTGGGCATTCACTCTCTTGGGCAGGGATCTTAGCCTCTAAAAGTCTTCTTGATGGTAGGAATTAAAGATGTTATTGCTCACATGAAGATGGCCAGAGGTAAGCCCAGAAAAATCTGCATGGGGTCTCACCGCCAAAGGCAATTCACAATAAACAATGGGTTTTATGTTTATACCCTACACATTACCCCATAGCTTTGTTACAGCTTTCAATTGTTCTCTGTGTCCCCAAGACTAAATGAGGAGGCAAGGTGGCTGAGTGCAGACTTGGGACTGGTCCTCCAGAATACAATGAACCTGGGCACAAGGACAAGATCTGCTGGTACCAGCTCCCTTCCCCAAGTTCTCCCCCATTTTTAGAATGAAGAGTTCACTGAATTAAGAAGAGTAAGAATTTTCTTTCATAGACAGTGATCTTGGGCAAATCATTCAAATCTCTGAACTTCAGTTTCTTATATGGAAAATAAGAAAAATACTTGAGAGGATAATGGCGGTGTTAGGTAAGAGGATGT